TGTTTTATTGGGCCTTAAATTGATATTGAAGTTGGTCTAAATAAGAGCTAGAAATATTAATAGGCTTGAGAATAGGCGGAAGTTATTTGGCCCAGCCCAATTGATTGGGCATTCGGGCTTTATGTTGCATGTTTTCAGCCCGTCTTGATTAATAGCGAATCCTGTTAATAAAGGTGTTAAAAAAACCGATCAATCTGGTCAACCCAATCTGAGAAAGAAAAATCAACGTGGGGTGAACCGACACATAGTTAATACAGAATTAGGTCAAACTGCATCTATTAGGTAGGAATTGGGTTTAAATAATTTGAACTCAACTCAATCCGATAAACCCAATGTCTTTTTATATTTTATGGATTTAATATGATTGTTAAGTTTTTCATTAATGTGTGTACTGATTAGATATTAGATAAACCGTAATTAGCTATATTCAAAATTATATTACAATTTCAACCGTAATTTTAGTTTCTTGTTTGCATGAACTTTCAATTTTTTTTAAAGTTTGTTAGTCTTTTTTATTTGTTCTCATTTTTATTTCGGCTTTGTTTAAACAAAAAAGCTTAGTTCAATTGTCAAATGATGCATCAAAATTTCAACCATCACGGTTTGGTTGTAATTTTCTTTTGGGTTGGGTTTGGTTGTGTTGAGATTTTTTAAACCGAAATCATTAGGTTGAGTTGTTAAAATACCTTCAATTAGACCAACTCAACCCATGTGCAGTCATATTGTTAGAGCTATGAGAGCAACTTCCACAAATTCGTAAAAAGAATACAAAACAAAAATATGTTTCGAACAGATAAAAATACTTGTAAATTTATGTTAAGATTACGAAACCATGTTTTTTTTTTATATGAATAACCTTAAACAACGCTTTTCAAAACCATCTATAAATATTATTTCCAGCAACATTTCTTTAAATCTAAGGGGTCGTTTACTAAACATTTACTTGGTAAGTACATACCGAATACATTTTTTTATCGGATGAACATGACAAGGACCAATAATCTTACCGGGTAAGAGCGATGAGAAGAATGGAGAGTCTTACCCGGTAAGTGAAGATTACGACTCTTACCCAGGTAAACGCTTACCCGATAAATTGTTGCATTCAATACATTTTAATGTACTAAAATCTTACTCATCAAAATAAATTATAGCGTTGACTCCTATAAGTAAGCACTAACCAGGTAAGCATTTGAATAAACAGCCCCTAAATGTCATCTTAAAAAACACTTTTACCTTTCAACATATTTAAGATGGTTTGGAAGAAATCATGACCGAAAGAGCTGATAACCCCCAAACAATTAGAAAATTGATTAGCGTTTTATAACGTCAAAATAGTTGGTCAATCAAGTTGCCTACAAACACTAAGGGATCGTTCACCAAACACTTACCCGATAAATGATTACCGGTAAAATTTAACACTACCATATACTTACCGGATAAGATTTTAGTCCACCAAAACGATATTGTATGCAACAATTTACCGGGTAAGCACTTACCATGATAAGAGTCGTCGCTCTCATCGGGTAAAACTCTTAGTCCTTGTCTAGCTCTTACGGGGTAAGATTTTTGGTACTTACCATATTCATTTGGTAAAGTAATGTGACTTGGTGTTCACTTATCCGAGTAAGCGTTTGGTAAACGACCCCTAAGCTACAGTTTCATAGTCTTTTCAACATCGTTTCTGTATCAAATACATCCGGAAACACAATCAAAACCATAAATCGATAAGCTTTTCATTCATAATCATCGAATACGCAAACCCATTTGAATTTCCACAAAAACATATGAAATCTCAAAGGATAAATGTTAAAAATCAATGATCTTTAGCAACCCCATGAACTTCATACAAGAACATATGATGATTATGGATATTAGAAATCTTTCAATAACCTATACCATAATCCACCAGCGATTTTTTTTTTTTTTGAAGTATATAATATTTATATACGACAAATAAAACAAATAAACTTACACACTTTCCTCATATTTGGTGTAATTTGAATTATTGACCTTCTAAGAGGCCAAATATTCACATACCGCTAGGTCAAAAACCCTTTGGTCCCATCAGTGAATTTATAAGATGAAAGTTTACTACAAACCATAATAGAAAAATATGCATAACCTAAATTCGACTCGAGGTGCCAGAAGTAGTATGATTGTTGTTTTATTTGCTTCGTTTATCCAATTCAACTACATGATAGCTTGAAACCGGAGGCTCATTCCCACCAACATCTACATCTTCACCCGCAAGATCATTGCATGTAATACGCTAAAACCATAACCAGAAAGGCATGAAAACCTGTTGTTAACTCACATTTATCAGATACACATGAACATGAAAGAAACTGGTTAAATTACTAAAAAATTATAAAAATTTAAAAGGGTTAATTTGAATCTTTAAGATGTCATCGAGTTATAAACTTGGGGTATGACTAAAGTTGGTCAGGGTTAACCAAATTGACAAAGGGCTAACTTTTGACTTGTTTGACCCACGTGGATTTCAATGATAGAGTCAAATTGTCTTATTTGAGGTATCAGGATGCTCGGATATGGAGTTCAACTTTAGGTCGGGTTGGGATTGATCATAGTTGACTTTTTAAGAAACTAAGCCATTAATTATATATTGTTCGTATGTAGGTCTTTCGTGAGGAGCTATCAGTAGTCGATCTACACAATTAAGTAAGGTGCGTCTTCGTGAGATTTACAACAGGATATATACATATGTACAAAATTATTTTACCATGCTATTTTTTGTGGGGGTGAATGCTACGCATGATACTGATTTTAATACATGACATCACTTGTGTGTTTACACGTATATGGAGCTTTGTTGGAGCATGCAAGCATACTGATTTCTGTTTACACGAATTTACTGAGCTTCACAAGCCGATCATGATATTCATCTCAGGACCAGAACTTCGAGGTTGAACAAGGGAAACAAGCATGCTTAAGGGACTTGTCTACTCATTTAAGTACACTAATTATAATTAGGCATTTATGCTTTTTGCGACGTAACTCGATATATGACGAGTTAACATTTAAGTTATTGATTTAAAGTTTTCAACTGTAAACGATTTTAATTTAGCCATTATTTTGGAGTTTTTTTTTTGAGAAATGGTTTTGGATGACGTGACATTTCTCACAGTAAAATGAGAGCGTTACATGTTGGACAAGTTTTTTCCTCAAATAAATTCTCTAGACTTTACTTCAAGATGAAGAAAGCAGGAAATGGAGTTTGAAAATTTTCCAATTTGGAGAACTCAGAAAAAAGTGATTATTATATTTTCACTGATAGAGAATATGTAATTATTTGTTAAAAACATCTCCAACGGATTATATAAAAGATAGAAAATTGGGGTTTTATTTTGTATTTTGTTCTGGTGGATTCTCTATATTGTTATCTAAAATAAAGAAAACTCCAAGTTTAAAGAATTAACTAAACTTGTGATTTTTAGAAAATTCGTAATTATAGAAAATTTACAACAGTTGTGTGTGGTTTTCTAAAAGAAAATTTATAACATTCTCGCATAGCGGGTTGGATATCCAAGTTAATAAAAAAAATGTGCATTTCAATAAAATATTATACAAAAAAAAAATCTTCAAACACTTTTTTCTTATATGTTTAAAATTGATTTTTAGGGAAAAAAAGTTGGGACCGGTTTGGGCCTGACTGAGACTGGGACAGTGGGACCAGACTTTTTACATGGAGATTGAGTCGGGAGTCTTTGATTGAAACCGTGACCGATTATAAAAAAGAAATCTTGGATCGAGATTGATTTGGGCTCGGTCTTCAAATGATAAATTTGTGGAATATTTTAATAAAATAATAAATTTAGAAATTTAAAATAAAGAATTTATTTTTTAATTAAATATTTTAAAAAAATTATTGAGAATATATTCAAATTTACCAATATTTGATGATTTTTGAACGTTGAGATTCAACGACTTTCGGTAGCCTGCTACTTTTTTGGCAAGCGTCCAACTCAGAACAGCAACAAAGACAGGAGAGTTAAATTCAAGTTTGGTCCCTGTGGTTTATATTAATTAACGAATATGGTCCCTGAAAAGAATTTTTCACCAAGAGGATCCCTATGGTTTCATTTCTATAACGGATATGGTCCCTCTTAATAAAACCATCAACTAAAGTGACGTTAGTGAGGAGTAGTTTGGTCCATTAAGCTTTCCTCTCCATCTACTTTCATTTTTATAACACGTTTGGTCTCTCTTTCAACTTTCATTTTAATAACAGATTTGGTCTCTCTCTACAAGTAATACAACAATTCAAGATTTAATGAAATCGGCTTGTATATTAATGAGAGAAACTTTACAATACTGTTCCTGAAAAATGTAAGTACGTATCTGTATCTCTTCTCTTACAATTACTAAATTGAAATACAAGAAATCTATTTATACCCTTAGGTATTTACAATTTCAATCCCTCTATTTTAATACAACAACATATTAACCCAACAATAGTAGAAAAATGGAGTGCTAAAATTTAACACAAAGGTTATCTTTAGCAATTTCAAGTTCCAAATACTATTTTATGAAAATAAAACTAGATGGAAAGAAAGAGTTAATGGACTAAACTACCCCTCACTAACACCACTCTAACTCACGATGCTATTAGGAGGGACCATATCTGTTATAAAAATGATACCTTAGGGATGCTCTTCGTTAAAAAGAAATTTGAGAGACCTTACTTATTAATTTATATAAACCAAAGGACGAAATTTGCATTTAACTAAAAACAGGAAGAGAAACTGTAAATCAGACGATTCTGGAATTCCGAGTAAAGATAAAATTTGAATAAAACCCCCCACCATTTTTCAAAATGGGACCCAAAAAAAGGTCGACCCTTCTCACTCATCAATCATCTCTGTACACTGTCTTGCTTCCATTTTCCATGTTACTTTCTCTGAATCCCACAGCAAAGCACAGATCCCCATATTTCTTTCACAGATTGAGAGTGAGACTGTCTGTGTTTTCCCCAAATTGCAATGCCCTCAGCTGCCATATCTAAATCTTGGTGGTTTTTTTACTTTAATTCTTTTGTGGGTTTGTTGAATTTGGCTTTTGCAGGAGACCCATTTGTGTATTATGATTGGACCATCTCTTACACCACAGCTTCCCCACTTGGTGTTAAACAACAGGTTTTCTTGCTGCAAATTGTTTAATCTCTGTTTGTTTAGATCTTTACTTGATGATTATGAGTGTATGATTCTGTGTTTTGGTTTTGGGATTTGGGGTTTTTCTGAAATGATTGTGTTTAGTAGATTATTAAGACCATTCTTTGTGAAGTATTGTTTTGGGTGATGATTTGTGCATTTTGATGATGATTTGATTGGGCTGAAATAGATGCGTTTACTTTGAGCTGCAATTCAAGCAATTAGGGTTCTTGGGGAAGTCTATTGGTCATCAATTTGGGCCTAAAAAGTTTGTTTGGAGGTATTTTGACCTAGAAATAATTTTGTATTAGCTACTAGCCAACTCTTTTAGGATGAACATATTGGCCTTTTGGGTATATTTGTGCCATTATATGAAGGTTATTTGAGGGAGAAGGGCTTGAACCCCTCTATTAGCCTTGGCCCGAGTCAGCCCTGAAATGTCTCTTAACATGTGGTTCTTAGGGGGGCGGGTTTGTATGGGGCGAACAGGATTGCTGGTAGTCAACCTTTTGCTCAAATATGAAGGTTATTGACTTTAGGGTTCGTTTAGGAACATTAAACTTGGACCATTTCTACTTAATACATGTTGAAACCTTTGTTCTCTTTACAAGGGCTCTTTTGGAAAGTAATCTAACGGATTTCTTTTTCATGCCGTAATACTGAAAATGGCTTTTTAAGCCTTTGGCACCTCCACGTGTAGTGAATCAGTTGATTTCATCTCCATTATTCTATCATTTGTCACCTGGTATTAAAGACAAAGGTCTACCACTCTAGGGAGTCGGCATCTATGGCGGGTAATATATGCCCATCTAGCCCCCTCTCAACGCTTTAGAGGCCCGTCTTGCCTCCATTGAAGGGGCGTGTTGGAGTCCCACATTGGCTAAACTTGTACCATTTCTCCTCGATATATATTTTAACCCCCATTCTCTTTTCAAGGGCTATTTTGGAGAGTAATCTAACGGGGTTCCATACTGGGAATCCTCTGTAGGTGATTGCAATAGATGGGCACTTTCCAGGACCTGTTCTTGAAGTAACAACGAACTGGAATGTCGTTGTGAACGTAAAAAACAATCTTGATGAGCCTCTGCTTCTCACATGGTATATCTTTTCGACCTTAATATGTGATTTTGTACAATTTTGGGAAAATTTATCCTAATTCCATTGCAGGAATGGACTCCAACACAGAAGGAACTCATGGCAGGATGGTGTATTGGGGACAAACTGTCCAATTCCCGCCGGTTGGAATTGGACATACGTGTTTCAAGTTAAGGATCAAATCGGCAGTTTCTTTTACTTCCCTTCGACAAATTTCCAACGGGCTGCAGGTGGGTATGGAGGAATCATCATCAACAATCGAGATGTTATTCCCGTACCCTTTGGGACTCCGGATGGAGACATAACACTTGCCATCGGAGACTGGTTTCTAAAGAGTCACAAGGTTAGTGTAGTTCCAATACGTGGACTAATCATGTGAGAACCAGGAAAATATTGAGAACCCGTGAGAACCAATCTCAACGTATTGTTTCACAATGTGAAACCTGTTTCACACTGAAACTTTTTGACATACATCATGTGATTCACAATGTGAAACAGCACATAGCGGTTCTCATTTGATTATGGCCCGTTTGAATATTTATTAATTGTTTATAAGAGCAAAAGCTATATTCTCGGTGATTAAACCGATCTTATTTGGAAACAGGACCTTAGGAAGGATGTCGAGAATGGGGTTGACCTTGGATCTCCTGATGGTATATTGATCAACGGGCTCGGTCCTTATCGATATGATAGTACCATTGTCCCCGATAGTATTGCTTACCAAGTTATAAATGTTGAACCAGGTAAGTTCTTGAGGTTCTTTAAGCATAAAGTTCAAAACTTTTAGGTGCCAAACTAGCTGATAAGATAACTTTTAGGTGAAAAACTAGCTGTTAGTTGATAAACTAGTCATGTTTGGTAAAAACTAGCTGATAAGCTAGATGACAATACAAAATGATAAAAATGAAAAATTAATTGAAACAAAAATATAAGGGGCATAGTTTGAAAAGAGTGGATAAAAGCCTCTGGAGCTAATTCAAACGCTACGTGAAGTAGGAAGCTAGCTTATGGCAAACCAAACAAGGCTTTTTCAATAAGTTCAAAAAATAAGCTATTTTATGGTTGCCAAATATGATCTTTAAGTGTAAAGTTCAAAACTTCTAATCGACATCACGTTTTGTACAACGTGCCCTTACGTGATATGTTGTTTTACTTCGTTTGTAACAGGGAAAACATACCGTTTTCGAGTACATAATGTTGGTATCACCACAAGTTTGAACTTCAGAATTCAAAACCATAACTTGCTTCTTGTAGAGACCGAAGGTTCATATACGGTACAACAGAACTATTCAAACATGGATATTCATGTTGGCCAATCGTATTCTTTCTTGGTGACTATGGATCAAATTGCCAGTAACGATTATTACATTGTTGCCAGTCCACGGTTTGTCAATTCAACCAAAGCTTCTGGAGTCGCCATCTTGCACTATTCGAATTCTCAGAACCCCGCTTCTGGTCCTCTTCCAGATCTCCCTAACGAATCCGACCCGTCTTCATCAATGAATCAAGCAAGGTCCATAAGGTTTTAAGCTTATCTCATACACCCTTTTGTTTTCCTTTCTGAGCTTTTCTTGATTATGTTAAATGATCGTTATTTGAGCTTTTCTTGAATCTTTATTCATCAATGAATCAAGCAAGATCCATACGTTTTTCCTTTCTTTCTGAGCTTTTCTTGAATCTTGATTCATCAATGAATCAAGCAAGATGCACAAGTTTTTTCTGTTCTTTCTGAGCTTTTCTTGAATTTTAATTCATCAATGAATCAAACAAGATCCATTGAGTTTTTCCTTTGTTTCTGAGCTTTTCTTGAATCTTGATTCATTAATGAATCAAGCAAGATGCACAAGTTTTTCTATTCTTTCTGAGCTTTTCTTGAATTTTAATTCATCAATGAATCAAACAAGATCCATCGAGTTTTTCCTTTCTTTCTGAGCTTTTCTTGAATCTTGATTATGTTAGATGATTGTTATTTGACCTTTTCTTGAATCTTGATTCATCAATGAATCAAGCAAGATCCATAAGATTTTAGCTTAACTCAAACACCCTTTTGTTTTCCTTTCTTTCTGAGCTTTTCTTGAATTTTGATTACGTTAGATGATTGTTATTTAAACGGTTTTTGAAGGATGAACGTTTCTGCTGGCGCTGCTCGTCCAAATCCACAAGGATCCTTCAAATACGGTGAGATTACAGTGACGGATGTGTTTTTGCTCCAAAATAGGCCACCCGAGCTTATAAATGGGAAAAGGCGTACTACACTTAACGGTATCTCTTTTTTTGCTCCTTCAACACCCTTAAAACTCGCTCAACAGTTTAATGTTTTGGGAATCTATAAGCTCGATTTCCCGAATAGACCGATGAACCGCCCTCCAATAGTTGACACATCGGTGATTAATGGTACATACCGAGGATTTATTGAAATTATACTTCAAAACAATGATACTACCGTTCAGAGCTACCATTTGGATGGTTATGCGTTTTTCGTAGTGGGGTATGTTTATACTCTATATATGTGATTTGAGTATACATTTGTTCGTTATTCATTATGAATATATAAGATCTACGAGCTTAATGATTTTCGGATGAATGTTAGGATGGATTACGGAGTATGGACTGAAAATAGTAGAACTGTATACAACAAATGGGATGGGGTTGCTCGCAGTACTACTCAGGTATTCTTGATTATTGAAGAAACCCTGATAAGTAAACCATAAGCTGACTTTTTGAAAAGCTACTTCAAGTAGCCTTTCAATACGCTCCAGGGGGTTTTTTTTCACTTTTTTCCAATTCTGCCCCTTGTATGTTACATAAATGACCAAAAAATGCTAGCCTTTCAGGTCATTTTACATTGTCATCTAGCTTATCAGCTAGTTTTACTGAATGTGACTTATATCTTGTTAACTTTTAGGTGGTTTTCAATTTGCGTTTGGAAAGAATTAAGGTGTTTTATATCTGTTTGCAGGTTTTCCCGGGGGCGTGGACGGCTCTTTTGGTTTATCTTGATAACGCTGGCTTGTGGAACCTCCGAGCGCAAAACCTAGATTCGTGGTACCTCGGGCAAGAAGTTTATTTGAGCGTGGTTAACCCGGAGGTTACTGAAAAAACCGAGCTTCCTTTGCCTGAGAATACCATCTATTGTGGCGTATTGTCGTCCTTGCAAAAGTAAGATCCTTGCACAACTACCTCTGTGTGGGATATACTGGGTTCTTTTGGTTTGGTCTAGTTTATTTCATCAAGTCGCTTGCAAAAAATATGAGGTTCCAAGTATATCGAGGAAAAATATCTGAGTTGGCTAATGTGGGACTCCAACACGCCCCCTCCAAAGGAGGCTAGACGGGTACAGATTGACCTAGAATGTCGAGTCCCTACACTGGTTGACTTTTGCTCTGATACCATTTGAGAATATATGATAGCCCATTAGATTATTTTTCAAAAGAGCCGTTGAGGAAAGAAGAAACACCGATTTTTTCAAAATTTGATTAATTTAAATCTAATGCAGGGAACAAGCCCAAAGAGTTCGTTTTTCCGGTGCACCTTCGGTTCCCACAGTAACTACCACAATCTTTTTCGCATTCATCATGATGTTCGTCGGAACTTTCATGACTTAGCGTCATTGGTAGCCGCGGTGGTAGAGCAGTCGAAACATCGTTAGTGATTCAATTTTGACACATTTATAGGGAAAAATTAGATCAAATTGTGCCCATGAATGCTGTTAACTCTGTATTCATTATTTTAACTGTAAGTAGATTGTATCAGTTCATTATGAAATGTCATAATTGCCCCTGTTAACCGGGTTCGCCATAACTGTTATGTAAACAAGATTGATATGTTCGTTGGTGTGTTCGAACAAGACATAACACAATAACTTATTGTCTCACATTTAGTGCAACATTTAGACTAAGACATGATAATGACAAGATCGAGTGGGACATTATGTCCCACCAAAATTGGTAGAACAAGAACCCGGAAGATAAGACAAAATTGGTAAATTACTAAATTACTTATGTCAAATTAAAACTCTAAAACCTTCTACAATATTCATTTACCTAACTCAATGTCTGTTTAATGAGGCTCACAGTTTTTAGCTGTACATGATTGTTTGGCACCAACTTAATAATACATAAATTGGCTTATTTAGTAAGCTTCTAGGTGAGCATTTATGTAGAAATCCAAGTTTATCAATCTATGAAAAACCCTCTCAAACAAAAACATTATCGATCTACATAGACGACTTTATTCATACATGACTTAATGGAAAACTAACCGAATAACCCCTCACCCTTATCTGTCCAGTCTCGTCTTATCCAATTTTGTCAGCGTACACAACCATTCGGTTCGGGTTTCGTCATCATGTTAACTGCATTTTGAAGTCATTAAATTTAAAGATAAGATGATGAACAACAAAAAAAGGTCCTATCTTTATTAAAAAGAAAATATAATTGCAAGAGGGTCATGGTTCTTTAGAAGAAAAGCAACCCCAGATTTTGAATACCATTTTTTTCTAGCAACATTAACAGACTGGTTGCTGTAAACTATAAAATACTAATTAAATTGGTAAGTCAGATTTGACAATTTTTTTTATTAACCTGGATATCCAACCCGTTGTGCGAGCCGACTAATCTCAGGACGACCACCTACCTACTTTGCAGATAGCCCGAAGTCATCGCATTTCAACCTCCGTGGCCACAATGAGATTTTTTTTCCTCCTTGAATTTGAACCTGAGACCTCCAGGTACTTTTGACATTTGGAGCCAAGTTCAAACCAATTAGACACCACCCTTGTGGTTTCAGATTTGACAATTTTAACATACAAACAAACAAATTTAACAGTTTTAGCCCCTTTCATTCCTCAACTTATGCCCCCTCTTGCTCTGCTTCTAAGTTCGTTTGTGGAACGCATTCCCTAAAAACAACTTGGCATGTAAAAGATATTTCGGTTCGTACTGTTTAATATTTACAGCAAGACCTTAGTCCTCAGTGGTCACTGATGGATTGAGTGTTTTCAGGATCATTGGAGGTTTGTCTGACTGTTTAACTACTCACGGTTATCTAAAAAAAGAACCTTGACATTTAGGTTGAAAAAATTATTTTCTCAAAATTAAGATGTACTTATTTCATAGCTAATGGCTTAACGTCGTTTTAATTTGATGTTAGGTTTTCAGGGTTTTATGAATAAAAAACTGTTATAATCGGCATAAACTGTTTTATAACCTTAAAAGAATTTTAACTAAATGGATCTACGGGACAAAATTTGTTTCAATTGTAACCCAAAGTAGAAGTTTGAAGAATTTAACGGACTTATTTGACAATGTTTTTTTTTTCATTTTTCGGCTTGCTTAGAAGCATGAAATGATTTATTTGTTAAAATGTTTCTCGATTTACGGTATAAACAAGATTTCAAAAAAAAGTCTGTGGTCGCCTTTAAACTCCATTGAGTAACGTTTGATAAATCTGGTGTACCTTAGAAAAGTCCTTTTTGGCTGTCAAGGAAATAATAAATTCGGTTTCTAGAACTTTTGATGAAATGAATTCTTTTTTATTGCATAATACACTCAATTATGTTATATTCCTATCTAATATCAGACGAAACATAAGACTATAAAATTTCGTTTTGTTGCATCCCCGCCCCCCCACACACACAGATGAGTGATGAGTGTTGAGTGTGTATGGGAAAGGAGAGGTGATGCAAGTGTTCACACACGTACACAGAGGAAAAGGACAGTGCTTTTGCCATTGAATGGTCGTCGAGGATGGTAGGGGAGGGGGTTCTCTCAGAATTGGGTCGATGAAGGTCACGGTAGTTAGTGTTGTTAAAGGGGCAGAGTTGCCCAGATTTGAGATAGAGGTGTGGGAAGGAGTTTCTTTGGGAGGGGCGGGGAATCATCAAGAAAAAGGGAGTTTCTTTCTTTTGAGATATTTGTAATATACATATATAATATCTGATATAATAATAATATTTTGTTTATTTTTTAATATAAAAGAAAAAAAATGAAAAGATGAGTTTCTTAACTCACATTAGCCACATGGACTATAAATCGAAATAAAGTGTTAACCATGATGATCAAAAGTATAATCAATAAGTAGCAACATGTAAACAAAAAATGAAATTTACTCTAGAATTTATGAGTTCTTCGGGCGTCCGTCGCCAACTTTGGCCCAGAGGCCTCACTGGTCCCCCGTCAGATGCAACTATTTTTTACTTTTAAATAAGATCATATCTTAATTTAGAGGCTGTTTGACAATTACTGAATGGTTTGGTGCAGAATGATTAAGTGGTCAGAATGATTAAGAGGCTCTCATGATATAGTGCAAAACGAAATAAAATTGTTTGGTAATTGTGTACAATGAAATTAGGGCTCTTAATGGTTAAGGGAGATTCAAGATACAAAATCATTCAGAGGATTTTAGAATCATTAAGAGACAAAAATTTTTTTGTCAAACAAGATTTATCTCTTAACGATTCATAAATTTTCTCTTAATAGAATTATTAAGAGGTAAACAAATAACCCATTAGTGTTAATATACCTAATGGTCCACTCTATCAAAGAACCAATCTCAAACCTCTTTTCTAGAATTCTAGTTTCTTCGTTCGTTCCAAATCCAGTTCATGCTCTAATTTTTTTACGTTGCTAATAAATATATCATTGATACTTGTAAAAAGTAAAACATGTCGAATTTATTGCTGAATTTGTGAAAGTTAGTGTTACGGACTTTAAAATGTTTATTTATTTTTTGATTAAAATAGACATATGATTATATATCTAGACATGAGATCATGTGCGATCAAGAGTTTTTCGTGAGACCCGTAAGACCAATTCTCAACTCTTGTATTAGATCAACAATCTGAATAACATTCATAAACGCCACGAGACTTCTCAATAATCACAAAATTGTCAACGTGCAAATTTAGACCATTAGATTATAAATTTGATCAATAAATATAAATTGGTCTTACGGATCTCACGAAAAACTCATTATCTCACGTGAACCCAATCCTATATATTTTGATTTCTGCATAAAATATGTTTAAGATAGTTGGATTTTGGACCATTTTTTTTTTCTTCCGAAAAAGGGTGCTTTTAATGAATAGCTAAAATCTCCATAGTTGATGGCTGTATTGGAACCCATTCCTCCACTATCCCCACCATTTATCCTCACTTGCCTTGTAAGCGAATGGACGGACAAGTCTCACTCTTTTCTATATATAGTCAGCCCCTACCATCATACTTCATACAAACTGCATGAATACATTCAAGAATCTTTGCCCCTTTCATCTTTCTAGTAACTAAAACCCCCCAAAATATTGTCTCGATATGAACAAGAACATCAATTCAATTCACCTATTCTTTTCAATTTATGTCTCATTTACCATTCTCTTGGCACAATCTGCCCCACAAAATGCCTTAATTTCTCAAGTTCCAGGGTTCAATGGCACCCTCCCTTCCGAACACTATGCTGGGTACTTTTGATCTTCACTTTCTTTCCTTCGTTTCTTTTTTTTGGATAAATTTGATAGGTTTTCAGGAAAAGATTAGAGTAATCTTGATGGGTATTCTTAGATTCTACTGTCTTTCATTC